TGCTAATGGAGCTTACATAATTTCTAATTTGTAGAGGTTGTACTACTAGTTTCCAAAATATCACCAGCAGATCCGACAAATTTTTTAAGTTCATGTTAGGCATAGGCTCGGGGATACGTTCACTATAAAGCAGAAAAATGGGCAAAGGCCCTCATGGGTTGGTGAGGTAATTTGGGCTGAGTTAAATCGAACATGGGTCTCTCTAGAATACCAGAGAAAAGATAGACGATGCAAAATAGGACAATGAAGGGAGCGAGAGGAGCCGCACTCCATATTGGAGATTTGATCCCTCACACAGAGCACTACCGGATACTGGTAAGATTATATCAAAATTTAGAAGCTTGCAGATTTATGTAATTATGTGACTCGTATATTTATTTGATCATATATACAGGTTATGTGACTCGTATATTTATTTGATCATATATACAGGCCAAGGAGCTTGACCAAGAGTCATCCACTGCAGAGTTGCATGTCCTCACACATCCACACCCAAACACACAGCAGTGAGTATCTGACCATTCTAGGCATGACTATTTAAGTTTAAAAATTATTTTCTATTTATTTATTTTTTGTTTTTTTGGGGGGGGGGGGGGGGGGGGGGGGTGGTGAGTTTCAAATGTCAATTAATGTTTTTGTTATGCACGAGGAGTATGAGCAGCTCCAAAAAAGATAAGGAGATGACTGGTCAAACCTCACTGTTCGCCTGCAGCAACTGCTCATTTAGATTTTGAGTTGTGGACACAAGCGGCGGGGAAGAAGTAAAGAGTGTACAACCTCGAAGCAAAGATGATAGAATTTGAGGCCGAGAGTTCTTGTGCAGTTATGGGTGGCCCTAGCTCATGACATGCTCAGCATGAGGAGCTTGTCAGGCGAGTCATGATGATGAATCAAGAGCTCTCACAGGTGCGTAAAGGTAGTCTAACACGTCTGACGGAGAGTTTTGATAGCCGGAGCAAACAACATATGCGTCTGGTCGAGGATGAGGATGAGGAGTTGGATGATGATGAGGAAGATTAAGATTATTGTGTTTGATGATGTTCCCCTCACATAAAGGCTGACTTTATGTTTTTTTTTCTGTTTAAGTGAACTTGTAGCTTCTTTTGTTGTGAATTTTGAAACACTTTGATATGTTTATATTTAATCTAAAATTGTATCATTATGTAGAGATATCTTGGAGATTTTTTTATCAGTTGTGATGATCAATAAATGTTTATAATGTTTCTTGTACTTGTTATTTCAGGTATATAGAAATTTAAGTTTTTTTTTTGTGTTATATGTTTGCTTCGGAATATTCCGACACAAAAGGCAACAATCAATCATTTGATATCTGACACAGTTAAATCGACACAATAGCGTCCAACCATTCTGATGCAAATTAGTGTCCTAGCGTCGGACTGGTTAGACACAATTGTGCCGTTAAGGCAGCTTCGCCCATTTTTTCAACAAAACTTTTTAGTGACAAATTTTTGCGATGCAAATTCGTACACAAAATCATTTCGCGACGCGTATTTTAAAGTCAAAATTTTTTTGACGCTAATCTGTCTTAGCGTCATAAAATGTCTCGATTAGCGTAAAAAATGTCAATTAAAAATCTCACTCCGACAAACTGATGCAGACGGTGAATGAAATTGATTTAAGTATTTTAAGTGGTTAATTTTAGCTTGAGTGCTTAATTTGTTAATTTGAAAATTTGATTTGAAAACCTTAATTTAAAAGATGATACCCTCCGATTCAGATTTTCAATCAACTCAGTCATAATCAGAAATTTAGCATTTAAGACATTTATGCTTAAGCTTCATTTTAAATTTGTCGATTTTAATATTTTTAGCAGATTTTTCTAGTCGACTTCAATCCTAACAAGTAGGATGGTCAAATTAGGTGATTTGGACTTGAAAATTTTATATGTGATTTGGACATTATTGAAACTTACTATACTTGTCAACTTAAATCCTTAAGAGGAGGATCAAACTAGTCGAGTCAGACATAAAACCTTGCGCTATAGACAAAGCAACCTGATTAATTATTTTTCAAAATATGAACTATTTGAGTGTAAATTTGGCCCTAACCAGCACAACATTCTTAAGCTATTTGTTAAAGCATTTAGAATTTTAGCAAGCTCATGCAAATTTTTATGTAACATATTTTTTGAAATATTTGCACATTTTAACTCAATGTATCCAAGTTAAATGATATCTTACAATGTAAATGCAATCATTGTAATATTAAACATTGCTGATTGCACCAACACTTTTGTTATTAAATGCATGCATCGGGAAAGATTTGTACAAATCTTGGTGTACTTATATTCAAATCAAAGCTATCATAAAACTGATATAGTCATTTAAATATTTTGAAAGTTTGTGTGAATGTTATGACTTTATGCTACACTCAAATCTTTACTTTAAGCATTTTACCGCCTTCTATCTGCTTGCAAATTATAACTGCAGATTTGATGGCGGATTTCCAAATTTAAAAAGCTTCACATTTGAATCATGTTTCAACCCCTTAAGAACCTAGATTTGAAAAACTCAATTTTGAATTATTTCTCATCACTAGGAGTCTAAATTTGGAAAAGCCCAATTTGAATTGATTTGTAAATCTTAAGAGTCTAACTTTGGGGAAAAAATTTATTTTGATTTTTAAATTATTTTTCAATGCCTATGAGCCTAAGTTTGAAAAATCACAACATTTAAATGTTTTCAACTCATAGAAGCCTAAAAATTTAAAAACCCAATTTCAAAAAATTTCAATCCCCAAAAGCCTCTAATTTTTTCTTTTTTAAAAACTCATATTCAAATTATTTTTAAAAATCAAATGCACTATATTTTAAATTATTTTATAATCTCAAATATTACAGACCTTTAAGTGCTTTACAATTCCAAATCACCCAAAATTTTAGCAACCTCCATACGTCAACCCCCAACAAGGGGCAAGGGAAGAATGCCAATTTTCCCAACTAACATAAAAAACTCAATGGTCAGTATCGTGAGACACTACCGTTGGGGCGCAAAAATAAAATTTTTAACCCACTGTCTTCAAAGATGTGATAGGCCTTCAATGTACCTGTAAAAAGAATAAATCACATAAACATTTCACTGAATGATATTTTACTTTCTCCGAACATTACTTAATTCCCTTGACAGATACTCATGTTTCCCACGACGGATATTTTGAATCTCCTAAATTTTATAAAAAAATTTCTAAAGAAATCCGCAATTTCACAGAACGGTACTCAGTTCCCAAGTCGAATGGATTCTTTTTTTTTTAAAGAAAAATTTCACTCCCATGCCCATTTTATACCTTTTCGCAAGATATTGGAGATGTCGATGATTGGCGAAACAGTGTTGAAGCAACAACGACGAAACTACGAAATAAAAATACAATGGAATTTTTTTTTTAACGACATACTATATAGAACACTACATAAATTGACAAAATGAAGAAATAAGGGCTTGAATTTGGTTGTTTTCTACAAGTGGCAGAGACTGGCGAGACTTTCTCAGGTTGTGTTCATGAGTGAAGCAGGTGTGTGAGGATCTGTCAAGTAACGAGCAGAGGCACAATTTAGGTTTTCGATTGGGAGCTTGCAGGTTTTAGGAAGAGCAGGAGCAGAAAAGGGATTTGAACAGGAAACTTTGGTGCAAGAAAGCAGCTCGGGTAGGGATCGAATGGCTTCTATCAATTTTCAAATAGGGAAGAGCGAACAAGCGGGAGTTTGGGTTGCGTGCGCACAGGGAAGAAGAAAGGTGAGGGTTTTAGTACAGGGAGGCGGGCAGCGGCCTTGGTGAAAGGAAGGTAGACAGAGAGTTCCGGTGTAGAAACGGAGAGAATTTTGAAAGTCCTTGTGCGCAACAATCCCTTCATGGTTTTATTTGCTTGCTTTGGATCATGTGTGGGATGGAAAGGAAGATACGGAGTAGGCTTCAATTCGAACAGAAAAGAGAGAGACAAGTGCTTCGTGTGCTTGAGGGGAAAAGAGGGCTTTGGGCTTCTCGGTTTGCTGCGCTCGAGAGGAATAAGTGGAAAGGGCTTCGTGCGATTTTCAAATTGGAGGAAGAAGGTGAATTGCGGCCGCAACATAAGACTGATGAAGAGTGGACTTACACGAGGAAGAAGGCATGGGCTTGCGTGAACAGAGAGAGGAATGATGGGAAACACCAGAAGAGGCAATAGAGAGTGATAGATTTCAAAACAGGGGGCTTAAGTGAAGCGTGGGGGACAGTCGAATTGAATTTCAAGCCTCAAATCAAGTAAGGGAGCAGTTATCAGGCTGTCCATACAAGAATAAATAGGAAACTTAATTTAATTTTTTTTTCTTTTTTATTCTCATTTTTTTCATTTTAAATGTCAACAGTTTTCTCTCTAGTTCTTCTTGCTAGAGTGTTGTATACTTAAGCTTGTTCTCAGGTTGTGTGTCTGCAACTTCATTGGATTGAGGTGCTAATCTCTCCTGGATGTCCGTAGACTTTCCATGCTGCCCATCTTGCTGCAAAACTGCTGTCCAGACGCAGTCTAGCCACCGTTTAAGATTTCAGCTACCATCAACAATTTTTCCACAGTTATCTATCCTATCAATATCCTAACACGTTTCTTGATCTTTCCATACCGCCTAGGAACCCTAAACCGGTGTCACCACGTAAGTTAAATCTGCCTAAGTTGGTTTGTATGATATGTAGGTTTGACCCATTCATGAGGATTTTCCATGATCTTCCCATCTGCATTGTCTTAACATAATATTGTACAGATCAGCCTCATCTCCATGCATCTCCATGGCCCATCCATGAGCTTATCTAACTACAACAACCAAACCCACCACTATGAGAGAAATCTCGCTCAGTCACAAAACCAGAACATAAATGACCAAAATGCTACGAAGGGCAAGACTACAAACATTGGCCCCGCATAAAACCAGCATTTGGCAGGAAAATTGCGTTAGAATTGCTTAATCGTAAACATACAAAAAATAAGATAATTTCCAAATTGCCGTAACAGCATACCTGCAAAGAGCTGAATGACAATGGAGAGAATGATAAAAGAGTATCACGATCAAACCAAGCGCCGGATGAACAAAGCAGACCAAAGAAATTGAAAGAAATCCAACAACAAGAGTTGGATTTAATCTCAGAATCTGCACAACCTGTTTAGATTCGTCGGACAAGCAAAAGTTAGCAAAGTTTTGTACATAAAGCCTGGCAATATCACATGCAATAAATAATGGATAAAAAAGTCAGTGATTAAGCGATAGAACCTTGCCTTTAATGACCAAAGCATAGATAAAAATTTGATAATCTGCCGAAGAAAAGCAGCACAGAAATTTTCTTGCAAAGCTAGCCAGCTGCATAAACATCATGTTCTATTCAGAGAAATCAGGTTGTTGGAATGTTTACTTGAAAAATAAAGGGAAAAAAAAATCTTATAGTCATAAATTTTATCATTAAAGAACACGAAGTATCAATATTACAAAGAATCACAAAAGCTTAACTGTAAAAATAAAATATTCAACTGATATACAAGGATGAAATAACTAACTATTTCAGCACATCAACATTAATTTGGAAAAAGAATGATGTGTTGGTGAATAATGAAACAAAAGAAGAAAAAAAAAGATGGGGCAAAATTATCAAGGACAGCATGAAGGGCAAATATAGTGGTAGTGATCAATGATTTACTCGTGCAAATAAGTTAAACTTACAAGTACTAATGGCAATTAGGATCCATCAGCTAATTTAATTTATTAAAACATAAGCACAATGCACGATCATGGTGTTGAATCTCAATCGTGAGATCTGAAAGGTAGATAAGGACTTACATTTTTTAAAGTTGTGAAATATAAAAAAAACTAAAAAAAAGGGATAAAAGGAGGTTATTTTACCTAACTTAAGATAATTTCATGTGTTTAACGCTAAAGTTTGAGAGCGCTATATGACGTAGTTCTAAAATTTATTATAATGCCTCATGAAGTAGATTCTATTGCCAGAGTTTTCATAAGTTTTCAAATACCAATAATAAAAATACTCTGAAAGGTATAATCATTTTGCACGTGTACAAGGCAAATCAGCTATATAATGAATAAAAACATAAAGTAAATAGTACCTCGCTACAAAGTATGAAGTAATAATGCATTAAAATATTTTAAAATAATAAAAAACAAGCGATTTGGATAAGGTAAAAGAAGAATAAGAGTAGTTTGTTCTATAATCATGAAGAATTATTAAATTACAGTTATACAGATAGGGGAGATCAGAGTGTAAGAAAAAAAAAAGAGAATGTTAAAATAGTTACTTAGCAAACTTTAATGCAATTAAGTTATAATTATATTAGAAGGATAGTAGAATTAACAACTATTTAAAACGTAGTGAAAACAGGCATAAACTAAAAAAGAATGAACAAAAGAATACAGTGAATAGTATGAAAGGACCAAAGAGAAAGTTGAAGTTATAACACTAAAAAAGAATGAACAAAAGAAAATTCATTATGCTGGCTCAAAATACATAGAAATTCATAATAAGGTGAACTGTTCAAATAAATAAATATATCAATCAATCAATCATATTCAAGTTATTAATTCAAGCTTGAGCATATGAAATTAAATGCATGTCGAGAGATAAGTTGAAGATTAAAACAATGTTGTTAACATATCATCTTTTTAAATATAGCTCTCTTCACCCTACCAAAGGCATTGCCAGGATGCATGCTTCTGAAAAATGAATTACCTGAAAGGCAAATGGTAAATGTGGATATAGTCAAATACTGTCAAACCACTCGAGATTCTTAGCTTTCTCTTCAGCTATGTTTTCACTCTGATCATTTCAATGCGTTTCCATCAATCTAAACAATCTCACTAAAAATTTCAGGTAGCAGTCTCCACTTTCTAAGTTGCATTGTTAACTATTTTCATCTGTTAACATCCTTTCGTGATCTTTTTGAGAAAAATTTTAATGAATCAAAATAGTATGACGCAAGAGCAATACAACCACGACAAATTCTTAATTTTCATCACCATTTTTTGGAAAAATGCAAAGTGTCATTCCAGCCAAGCCTCTTGGCCGCAAATAGAAGTGGAGATCCAAGTGTCAAAGCAAAGACAAAGGATGGGGATTAGCTTGCCCCCTGTCGAACAAGGTGGCTTAGCCACCTCAAATGTGCTTGGATAGAGGCACCTCTTCCCCCTCATCATTGCCATCCACAACTAACTTGAAGTTATTTAGGGTGCTAACTCGTGGCCTGTTGGGAGTAGGAGAGTCCTATTCCTTAGAAGCAGTAGCCACCTTTCCCTTCCTGTCTCTTCAAAGATAGCTAGATGTATGACAAGCGATGGAGACAATGACATCTTCCTCCTCATGATATAAAGGAACCAAGGTGAAGAGATCCTTCAACAAAAGATAGCACACATCCGTCTTCAACTAAGAAAGGAAATCATTCCATGAAGAAATATATTTAACCTCTCACCACCAAAATAGTTTGGTCCCATTGCCTAGACCGAAAGGCCCATGACACCACCGAATGGAAGATGAAGTAATGGTCTCGCTAGCACTTCACCTTTTCTAGCCCTTGGGTCTTCATGAGCTTAGAGTGGGTGTTTCAAAAGATACACAAATCCACCCAGCACTGGGATAAAGGCATTAAATAACTGATCTTGAAGCTAAGGCAAGACTTGATAAAACCTTGCAAACCAAAAAAGAGTTTGAAGTTAGTTGGGCACGGATCAGGCAGGAGTCCCTAAGAAAGCCTCAATCTCAAAAGTGAAAGGGAGTTGTAGCTCATGAAAGAAATGAGAGGGGATGAGCACCAAGGTTAGGACGGTGCTTTCACAGTAACAAGCCGAATAATTAAAATTAAATCCACCAATTAAAAGCAAACAATTCAATCCATCACATTATATGTTTTTATTAGATGCACTTCCTCAGGTCAAGTTGAAGAAAGTTTTGGATAATTGATGGTTATGTTGCATCTTTGTGCTCTTTTTCATATCCATTCCTTCGAATCACAAGAATTCATTCTATGTGCCTCTGAACTATTAAGTGAAACCAAAACAACCAGCCCTTAGATCGTAAACAAGTCAGCAACTTTCAAAAACAAATCTTCAATGGACACATCCATTTCCACTCAATTTAATGAGAATGCATGAAAGGAGGTCCACGTGGTTGCTAATCAAGCTACCTGAATGTTGCTGACGCGAGAACAGCAACCATCCGCAAGATTGGAACGTGGTACCCGTGATTGTAGGGTTCCACAATCTTTCAGAATTGCAAAGTCCCGCGATCGCAGGACATGATTTTGCATAGAAGACCTCTCGATCCCAATCTCAACTTGATTTTTGTTCTTTCCTTATTTTTGTCCTATTTCCTTATTTGTGATTATAGTTTTTTTCTGTGAGGAAAATAATTTACATGGGTGTTTTGCTGTTTGAGTTTAGAGAACTTTGGTTTTGTATACTGTAGAGATTATAATCTCTATTTTATGCTCTTCAAAGAGTTGTATCCTTTTGCAAGTGATGTATTTGTATCTTGCTCGAAAACAAGTTGTGGAACCCCTTCGCCGCCCGTACCTTTGTTCGACCATTGTTATCAGACTGGACAGCAGCCAAACCACTCAAATATGCAGTCCCACAGCAGATTTCATTGTTTGTCATTCCAAACATTGTCAACCTCGCATACATCATTCCTTTGCTAATCCACAACCACCTTTAAATTCTCTTCCTAAACACTTTCTAGGAGTCCTACAATGGTATTCATTGTGACACAAGCTCCTCTTACATTTGCCGATTGGATCAACTATTACACTAGATGATTGGATCATAAAACCTTAATCTTATTTATCTCTATCACCTCAACCATCCACTATCAATTTATTTGAAAAATAAGCATTAAATCTAAGTTTAAAACTAAACTTAAGCAATTCGAGAGTACTCTCTCATGAAAAGTAATTATTTATGGGGACTAGCATCCAGAAGAAATCTCAAATCCAAATCCAAATTAATGCAGCAAAAACATTTAAAAGCTTAGTTAGAAAAAATCTACCATAATAAAAATTACTAGCAAGTTCCTCCCATACAAAGAATAATGTTCAAGAGCAGGACATGGCTTTTTCAGAGCGAATTTTTATATCAAGGGAAACCTACTTAAATAAATTCAATCTATCGTAAGAAAAACAACCCACAAATTCTCTAAGAGTCAAGAAGGCTCAATAAAGGCATGGCTAAAATTTTGAATTATGCAAGGATGTGGCTCTACAATGTGTCTCCATATGCCACAGGAGCAGAGTAACATAGCAGCAAATGATTTTTTTCAATTTTTAAGAATAGAAATTGCACTAGTACACCAAAGGAATCCTCAAATGATATTTAAAAAAACACATTTCCGCATTTCAAAGCTTTAAGTGCAAAGTATTCTTTCATAAATTTAGTTGCTAGACATTAGAAAAAGTACTGACCGTCTTTTGACAAAAACATGAAGAATAGCAACCATGTAAAAAATTAACTGAGAACCGAAGATCAAAATGATCAGAGATCCGTTTGCAATTAAATAGCAGACTATCGAGATGCTGACATAGCTCAAAACTGGAAGTTCGTGGTCGTCATACAATGACATTACTATAGAAGCGAGTATAGGTAACACAACCAGCAGTGAGAAAGAGCGCGGCATTCTCAAATTTAACTCAACAGATGTCAAAACGGATGGAAATGACAAATCCAGTTCCCAGGCATGTGCTTGTCGCATTAAAGCAAAAAGAACCCCAGTTACCATGAAGCCAATAATCTGCAGCAGCAACAGCATCATGGATCAGATTGTAAATAGTTAGCTATGAAATAACACACACACACGCAAAAAAAAATAAAACAGATTTTTCTAATTATAATTAGTGTATGTAACAGACGCAAAAATAAAATCAGCTAAGATAATTAATTTAGTCTCAAAAGGCTCCAATTCCACTTTGTTTCAGGAATGATAGTATTTAGTACATAAGCAGGCAGAAGATGCAAAAATTGGTAGTCCAGGCTAGATTAATTCGGACAAACATTTACAAGCATTAGGCTTGAACCAATCAAGTGTAATATCCATATATTTGATAACGTATAAATATGAAATACTCGAACTTCATTATATCCAAAAATTTTAACTTCCACGAAAATCATCAAAAAGTGTTCCATTGCATTCTACACTTCAAATCTCGTTTTGATATATAAATGTACATGCTAATTCTAAAAAATGAGAAAGATACAGAAATAGTTCCCATTGGAAAAACAAAAAAAAACCAAATATTTTATTTAATGTTATGGTTCATGGGTACCATAGCTTTGAGTAGAATTTTGAATTCCACTTAACCGTGCAGGCAATGGCTTATATAGTCATGGAAGGTGAAGATTTATTTATACAAATTATATAATTGTTTAATACAATATTTCTAAGTTTAAATACTTATCTAAAGCCTCTTTTACGCTACTTGCCCGTACTTGCATTCCCATAACTCCCCCATCCTGTAAGCAGCAGTGACTCCAAGGCTATAAGCATGCCGAAGGGTAAAGGAGAAAAAGAGGAAGAGGACGGGAAAAAGAAAATAAAGAAAAACTTTTTTATATCCAATCTTTTTTAATAAATTTCTTCATCAAATCAACTCCAAATCAAAGTTGTGGGATTTACCGCTTGTACTAGAAATTATTTTGAGGTTAATTTAATTTTGATTTAAATTATAAACAACTAATATTATAAGTTGAGAAATTTGTGAATTCATAGATTTGTTATTGTTAAATTATAACGACTATCCCTATGCCATTAATGCTTACTATTTGACTTTATTCCCTGATTATGTATTTCCCAATTTTCTTTTTTTTATTCTTTCCTAATTATTTTATTCTATTTTTATTACTTTTCATAATTATGTCTATGGTAATTAGGTTTTAATACTCCACCTACTATCAATGAAAACACGTGATTTAATTCCAAATCTAAACATGGTACAAAATCTAACTATAGATCCAGCAGCAAACAGACTCCTTGTCGTTTCCAGCAGCCGCTGGACTCCTCTGCCTGGTCCTATAGCTGATGGTTGCTTCCTGTCGCGGATGTTCTCTGTTGTATTCCAACTGTTGTTGATCCTAAAGGAGCCTACAGGAGCCTCTTCGCCTATAGTAATTTCCCAAGACCATTGTTTTATTTTCCATGTTAATATACAACAATGTCCCCAACAGCCGCTTCTGCTCTGGTTGTTTTCCACAACTGTTGTTTTATTTTCCCTGTTGATACCAGGTTTTTTAAGAGCTGATGTCTCAATAGACGATTGTTCCAATAGCCGACTATTAGATTTATTTCTTTCCCTGTTGATACCTTCTACAGGAATTTCCAACAGTAGTTGAACCTATGAGAACCACTGATCTTCCTTTCTACAAGAAGGTGTATCTGAATTCCTGAAATTCATCGATGGCTTGGTTAGATGACTTGGAACCACAACATATTCTTTGGCTCTGTTGGAATTAGGGCGGATTCATCCAACACTAAATCACCTTCAGAAAGTGTTCTTGATTCTAATGGAAGATCAACTCCAATTTCCCCTCTATTGCAGATCGGAGGACCTGAAATCAATAATTTCTTAATCACGACCCATAAGTTGAACAACCGTAACTTTCTTCAATGGTCCCAAGCTGTGTCTTTGTTCATCAAAAAAGGTGGGAAGTTTGGTCACCTCATAGATATGATTCATAAGCCTTCAAATATTGACCCAGTATATGAAGCTTGAGAAGTAGAGGATTTCATGGTCATGTCGTCGCTAATCATCTCCATGGAGAATTCGATTGGTCGTTCATACATGTTCCTCCCTTTAGCTAATGCCCTTTAGACGGCTGTCCAAGATACCCATTTAGATATAGAAAATTTCGACCAACTCTATGAGGTATCTAAGAAGATTCGGGAAGCAAAATAGGGATTAAGGACCGTGACCCAGTACTGTAATAACCTTGTTGCATTATGGATGGACTGCGATCCATACTATGATTACACCTAAGAATCTTCGGCCTACCTATCCCTCGTCCAGAAGATTGTTGAAAAGGATCGTATGTTCCAACTCCTGGCTGACCTTAACAAAGAAATTGACGAATGTGGGGTCGTATTCTTGGTCGGGAACCTCTTCAATCCACTCGGATTGCTTTCACCGAAATTCGTCAAGAAGAAAGCAGAAAACTTGTTATGCTCGGCACCTCCACTCCTTCAGTTGAGTCGCCTTGATTTCAAATAGTGCTCATCCCTTGTCCATGCAGCCTCGGAACGGTCACCCCACTTGTGATTACTGTCACAAACCCAACCACACTCGGAACAAGTATTGGAAACCTCACGGCAGACCAACATACAAACCTTCAGCAAAATCCTCTACTGCCAACGAACTCACAGCGACAACCGAACAAGACACGGCTCAACCGACTCCTACCCGAAACAACATTGATTCCTCTGAATCCCTAAAGAAGATGGAGCAATTGATCAAGTTTCTTGGAGTCAATCAAGTCTATATAGGTCCATTAAACTCCCACATCCAACAAGGTATTCTTCCTATGACTCTCATAGTTTATTCCTTCTCTAGTCCATGGATTACTGATTCAAGTGCCACAAATTATATGACTGGGTTCCCGCAAATTTTTTCGACTTACTATCTGTGCTCTAGAAAAAATATCATCAGAATTGTCGATGAATCCAGTAGTTCTATTGCTAGTAAAGGGTTGATTGTACTAACGATTGTTCTACCTCTGGAATCTGTTTTCCCTGATTGCAATGAAACTTATTATCATTCAAAAAGTTGACAAGTGATATCGATTGCATTGCTGTTTTATCTTCTGATGGTTTTTTTTTTCAGGATTGTCGTTTGGGGAGGATGATTGGAACTACTAAGTTGGTAGCTGCTCTACCACTTCCAAGGGAACAATACAAAGAGTGAAGACACGACACTCGAAAGTTGTAGTCTATCTCGAGTCATTGAATGTCTCGTCATGTTATTACATTATCGATTAGATCATCCTAGTTTTCAATATTTAAAAATTTTGTATCCTCTGATTTTTTCTAATAAAAATCTTTCAAACTTCAATTGTGAGACATGTAAGTTAGTCAAACATTGAGTCTATTACCAACCTCACACCTACACACCTTCCGCTCCTTTCTCGCTCGTTCACAGGGACATATGGGGACCTTCTCGCACTCCTAGGTACACCATCGAATGATGATTCTTAACTTTAATTGATGACTACACGCAAATGACGTAGGTCTACATTTTAAGAGACAAATAGAAAATCGTTGTGACCTTCCAAAACTTCTAAACCTTTGTCATAACTCAATTCAAAACTTCTATTCAAGTCCTTCGAACCGATAATTGTTATGAGTTTTTCAATTCTGTTTTGAGTGAATTCTTTATAAGTAAAGGCATCCCCTGCCATAGCTTTTGCACACACTCCTCAACAAAATGGGACAACTAAGAGAAAAATTGTCACCTCCTCGATATTTCTTGCTCCATTATGTTTCAATCCAATGTCCCGAAACGTTTTTGGAATGATGTCATTATAACTGTCATGTATCTCATAAATAAAGTCCCCTCCAAAATTCACAAGTTTCGAACCCCCTTAGCTGTTGTGATGTTATGCTTCCCTGACAAAAGGATCTTCTCCACATTAAACCCCAAGATTTTTAGGTGCATAACCTTTGATCGGAACACTGCCCCCAATCAGAATAAACTTAATCTCAGATCCATAAAATGTATTTTCCTTGGATACTCCACACAAAAAGAGTATCAGTGTATTGATCCTACCACTAACAAAATCTACGTAAGTGTTGATGTCTCTTTTTTTGAAATTGTTCCCTATTTTCCTGGCTCGGCCCCAAGTGAGGGGGGGCTTGGATTCTTAGACAGTATCCCCTTCTACAACTCCTACGAATATTCCTCCTGTTGAATCGTAAATTATCCTTTGTGAAAACACGCCTTGAGGGTTAGAGACGAGAGGAGGATGGGAAAGAGCAATCAAGAAAGTCTCTCTCAAGAATCAGGGAGAGATCCTTTTACTCGCATCTCCACCATCTACTTATAGTGGAGTATTTGTACAATTATATAAAGAAGGTAACGGTTAGGGAAACCGTCCTTAATGTAATTTAATCATGATAATTTACTACCAAATCTGTATTACAATTTGAATTCAAATATGTAAAAAATTGGTCGACGTGCTTGAGTTCGATCTGAAGGACAAGGCGACCATGTTAGTGGAAATAAGGCATGCCGAAGTAAAAGTCGGTTGGTAGGCAGGTTGAGATCAGGCGCCCCTCATGAGAAGCCTAAGACGGTCTTAGATTATAGGCGTGGTCAGCCAACTGAGTCCCTTGTCATACTATGTCGGCCAACTCCAATTGAGCTATCGGTCATTGAATGATTGGCTGGGATCCTATTTTCTGTAGACGGATGCCTTGATTGTCCGGCCATTGTCCGGATCAGCTTGATTTCTTTGAGATTCGTGTCGACGGTTTTGGTGCATACAAATTAGTTCTCTGAATTTTCCTAATCCTTAACAACAACTACAATAAGAACAGAAAAATTAGTAAACAATTATTGATGTAAAAATCACAAATCCGTAACATTGCCTTAGATGCAGATGAGTCGACTAGGTCGGAGGGTCATGAGGAGTTCAAACCGGCTGTGGTGGCCACTCTTCAGGCCAAGTATGTCGAGCTCCTGCCATCAGCTGTACCTGATGCTCCAGCGGAGCATCAGCTGCATGACTCTTTGCTCGAGTCAAATCCTCAATAGGGTTGATGTCATGGCGACTATCGTCCACCAAAGCTGTGGAGCAGCGAGCAGGTGAGGTTGGATCACTGACGGTGTCGGTTGATCCTTCTGCGAGAACAGGCGGAGGTTGCCATCTTACGAGACAAATTGAGAGTGCTCTGTGAATAGATCGATCTGGGTAAGTTTCATCGCAAAACTGATCGAGTGGATCAGATTATAATAGACAGAGAGATGGTTCTCCAAAGGTTAGCTTGTAAGGGGTATGTCCCGTCTAAGACCTTGGAAAACTTATTCATTAAATATTTTGTTTGAGGTTTGTAATAATGTTAATGACAATAAATTAGTATTTAAATAAATTTGAATAGATGTTTAGTGTGACACTAATCGTTATTTCACTTCGTTTTTTGTGTCTGCCCTAAAATATGGCAAGAGACCGTTCTTTTTCATTTTACGGGTTCTGGTTTCCTTCTTTGTGCCATCAATTTCTTTTTTTTTTATTTTCAATTTTCGGTCGTCCGTTATGTTATGCGATGGTTCTAAAATATTCCCCAACCCTTGATGGCTCTGTCAAGGATGTTGAGCCTTCATTTTTTGACGGAAAACGAGGTGACGCAATTGTAGAGGAGGTACGTTCTTCATATCACGTCACTCTTCGGAAGCTACTAGGGTCGGCTCGAGCGACGGATGTCGTGGACAAGGACCTAGTCTTTTACCGACACTAGTTCAAGTACGGCCTTTGATTATCTTTGTGCGACGAGCTCTGAAGTGTATTCAATACATACGGGGTTATTCCGACGCAAGTATTGCCGAACTTCGTGGCCTCTTTTGTCGATGAGAGCGTATTTCATTGCCAATCAAGCTCTTTAAGCATTTTTTTTCACGTTTAAGGTCGATAAAGAGGGCTTTGTTGTGTTTTCGACGGGCAAGGAACTCCACTTGCTGAGAGTAAAGAATAAAATAAAGGAGTGGAAGAAGTTTCTAGTTAGTTCTTGCTCTTGCACCTGGAGAATCCAGACTGAGGCGACAGAACGTGCGGTGCCCAAGCCGAGGTCTCTCACCGAGTGCATGGTGGTTGCCAGAGAGATGTTGACCCGTCGTACGCTCTCGACCCCTCAGTATACCGCCAAGATGACGGATTACCCGTGTGCTGGTGTGTAAAATGACCAAGGAACAGTGGCGTCTCTCGGATATTGAAGAGGTGGTCCAAGCAAAGGCAACAAAGTAAAAGTTGTTTGCCAAGCTCCATAAGCGGGAGCGTACATCGGGGCCAGATAATTCTGCAAGAAACAAGGACCAGCTCCCTTCCAGCATGGCATCGAAATATCTTACCTCTATGTCAGATCATAATGTTGTTGTTATTCAAGATAAGGTAACCAGCAAGGTCGCGGTTATCGCTTGAAAACGAGCTTATCATTTTGTTCATGCAGGGGAAGGAGACGGGAGAACTTTTGTTTTTGAGAAATTCCTAGAAAGTCGACGTATCATCTGGCGCGTCACAGACCGTCGCTACTCCACTTGACTCGCAGGTCGATGGTTTGTTTTTATATCCTTGCCCGAGCGAGCGGAGGCTGGTCGACCCCTCTCCCCTTCCTTAACTGGTGTGTCATCGGGGGCAACCTCATCTCCTGGCTAAGATCCTTCACCGTCATAGGAGAAAAAGAGCTAATAGAAGATGTGGCGGCCCCTCCTCCCCCTCCGTGGAAAGGGAGGAGGGAGGCCTTTGAATAAACCCGCGAGAGGAGCAACGAGTGGATGTAGACTGACATTGACCAGTGGTTCAGTCTTATGGACACGTCTAGGGACTGGCACCCTCCATCAACCGAGAATAAGGGCATGTCGTTGCTCCTATTGGAGTTGCTATGGTCTGAGGACCTTTACCGAAACTTGGAAAATGCGGCGGCCAAAAGCTTTTCCGGACATTGGAAAATGCGGCGGCCAAAAGCTTTTCCGGAACACAAATCAGTTCCTTTTGATGGTTGCACAGGTCGCTCACTTCCAGGGGCTGACTCTAACGGAGGCTCGAAAGAAGATAGACTCTTTTGAGGCGGAGTTGAGGATGGTCGCTAACGACCGAAACCTTTTGCAGTTGAAACTGTAGAACATGGGTGAGGCTAATCAGGAATCTCTTGTTACGACAGGGGTATTAACAAAGGAGGTTTTTGAGTTGAGGGAAATAGATGCCTCGTTCGTTTCCAGGGAGGAGTGCGAGGACGGCTTAGCAAGTGAGCTCAGGCGCGGGATGTATTAAACCATCCAATGATTTATTCATCACGGTTTGGTCGGCCCCAAGTACTCCGACCTGGAAGAGTTCCTGTCTTGATCCCTGATAAAACTGATGAAGTCTCCAAGCAAAATGGAGGTTCGGGCAACGAGGAAAGATTGGCTACCCGTTAGGGCACTGTTGCACATAGATATTTTCAAAAGAAGAGTTTCCTTTTTTCTTTTTCTTTCATTTTTATTTGAAAGGAGAAAGTTAAAGCAAGAACATTTGTAATTCCTTTTGCTAATTTTGGAAAAAATACATTCGTTTTTCTACTTATTTTGGATTGGTCGTGTTTTGATTGATAGTGTGCTCATCTTGCGAGTCGATCTGCCGTATGGGCTAGCCAACCGAAGTACTTTGTTTATCCCATTCAGTTGAGTTGTTGCCTCCGGAGAGACTTGCATCTGAGGCGACCTTTGTGACATGTCGCGAATATCGTCGCTTGCAGATGTCTTGGCCACCTTTTAGAGCTAAACCTCAAATTTTGGATATCTTGTCCTCATAGGTCGTTATTTAATTTTTTAAGGATTCGTTCAACTTAAATCGTTTATTGGGAGGCCAATCACGCCCTCAACCGTTGTCTATAGTGATCAGTTAAACATACCAACTGACTGACTTACATTGGTCCTAGGACACTACATATTCAGTCGATTAGGCATTTGCCTCAACCGAGTTTGCTCTTTTTGCTACATGCGAATCTGATCGTCACCTGCTAGAATTACCCTTGAGGACTGTCTTTCCACTCTTTCACGGATCATTTCGCTAGCCAGCGGATAACCATCTCTGGAAACCAGGCCTTCTCGACTTTAAGTGCTTGGGTTTCCCTCTGTTTGTACCTACATATGTGCTTCACAAATTTTAAGGTTGACAATAGGTCGCCCTCCGCGAGGTCCTTGGGTGGGTCGAGTTGCTCAAGTGTCTAGATTTTGGCAGTCGACCATCTCGGCGGGTTTGGCATTATCGCCCTATCACGTGCTTCTAGTGGGCCAATACCAATGGTTGTACTAATCGTGATGCGGGTTCTGTTATTTCTATTTTCGGAAACATAGCAGCGTCCTGTCCAGTCACTGAGGCTCGCCGCCCCAAGGTGTCCTTGTGTCCAGAGACCACTGTTCTTGATAGACGACTTACCCTCCCTATAAGGAGAGAGAGAAGGGTTCCCCGCTATTTGTACCTACATCTTGAAAAGGGGAACTCATTAGTGTAACATAACGGGAGCAAAAATGCTATAGCAGAGGATCAAAAATGAAGGTGGCTATGAATGTCAGGATAAAAGCGGAGGATCAGCTAAGATGAGTCCCCCCCCCCCCCCCCCTTCTTTTTTATTTTCTTTTGATGCGTGTCAGGATAAAAGCTGCTATGAATGTGATAAGTATTCCTTTTCTCTTTCCTTTTTTGAGAATCAGGCCTCCGAGCCTTTTTGTTGGTGTGAGGCCTACAGGTGTCAAATTGTCTTGTTATGGTGGGCCCATTTGTGGGCTTTTGTCGGGAGAACTACAACACTCCCCTTTGGTAACAACATGTCGGATAAAAATGTCTTGTTATAGAAAATGACAGCTTGACCGTGTAATAGAAAAAACTTAGCTTAATTTAGTACAGGAAACTCAAATGAATCACCGAATAATCTAAAATCCATTACCACCATGCGTTAAATCAGTGTATTTGGTGGAAATTTCATAACTACAGAAATATATTATGACATAACTGGCACTGGTAAAGAGAGCGTGAGGAATATAGAGTAGAAAGAGAGTGCGTGTGTGTGTGAGAAAAGCACTTTTATAAACTTCGAAAACTATACAACGCCTAAGAAATTGGACACTGGCAGGACAAGCATGAACAGACAACCATTATCCAAAAAACTCTGCTTGGCGAAGTTTCCACAAATACAAAATAATAAGTACATGTAAAACAGATAGGAGAATTTAAACATAAGAAATATACCTGTGAAGAATAGAGAAGACAGAATCTGCTTGCAGCAGTTGTGACAGACACACCAACACTGATTTTATAAGAACAATGAGGATCCACCTACCAAAAAAACAAAAAATGTTAGAATTTAACAATTCAAATGGAAAGAGTCAAGGAAATGTTTGACAAATTAATGAGATACCAAATTCAATTAATAGCAGATCAGGAGAGCAGATCTAATATAGATAAGAGCTGGGTTGAAGAATATGAAAAAACGGTCATGGAACATTAGAAACAATCACTAAATTTTTTTTTCTCAGAAACATAATTAATTTCTTACCAACAAAAATACGTTAGTTCTGTCAGAACCCTGACTGGAATCCCACATCCCCGGCGAAGAATCAACAATCACAGTTTCAGAGTTGATGTTAGGAATAACATGTAGGCCAGAAACAGAATCCCACGCAAGACCTACGGGTGGGAAACAGCGTAACCTGCAAAGACCTGTTACACGGTTCAAGAAATATATAAAATTACATCGAAAAAACAGCATATATTTTCCACATAAAATGCCCATAATGACAGAAACGGAAGAATTGGATAATAGTTACATTTGAAATGAAACTACATAAAAGCATCCAAAAAGGCTTACTGCTTTCATCCACATGATCAGCGGAGTCTTTCAATCCACAGCCTTCTGTTTGCAATGATATAGTTACAGGCAAAACACCTAAGCTTACAGAGAACGAGAGATTCAATGCAAGAGCATGATCCTCCTTCAAAAGCATTTCCTGCATGAAAAATTAATTCCACAGCTGCTAAAAATTCTTAACAAAAAATGAAACATTTTTGGGGCATTTACACACATAGCACACAATTCTTATGTATTTACATATCTCACACCTAAACTTTCATATTTACATACACAGCACTCAATCTTTAATATCGCACCAAAAATAGCACCGTTACCACTTTTTAAAAGTGAAATACACATTTTCATCTATAGGTTTAAAGCACCAAAGTGTTACATATATAAATATGAAAGTTTAGGTGTGAGATATGTAAATACATGAGAATTGTGTGCCATGTATGTAAATTTCCCAACATTTTTCGTGTATGTAGATGAAGAGCAATCAATCAGTACAAATCCAAAAAAAAAAAAAGAACTATCCTTTAATCATAATACAAAAGGTGAACCTCTTTAGAATAGGTAGAGCGAAGGAGCAAATTGGGAGAAAATTCCCACTCTCCGTCCTTTGGATTGAAGAACTGTCCAACTGCCATAGATACAGCTGGGGGAGGGCGACCTGAAACAGTCTGAAGAAGAAGACAATCCATTTCTTTAATGCATTAAATTATAGCTGTAAAAAAGTTTAAATACACAATTCAGTATAATTGAGTGCAGTTTTCAGCAGAAAGTTCTATAGTATGTCAATATTAACAAATGCAAAGTTATTTACCAATATACCACCAAATTCCTATATATTTACATATATAAAATCAAAACTTTACTTTTCACAATTAAACAACCTAAATCTTTCTATCACATAAAAAATACCACCATTTTAACTTATAAAAAGTGAAGTACAGCTTTTCATGCATAGAGGAGGTGGCATTTATGTAAAAAACTGCAGTTTAGGTGTTAGATATGTAAATACATAACAATTGAGTGGTATGCAAGTAAATATTCATAAATTAGAAGGTAAGTCGGTAGCATAGAGCTGATTGATAAAATAAAATAGTACCGGCCGTGGAGCAACAGATATAGTTAGGAACCTATATCCTTGCATTTCTTCGGGTGTTAATATTAGAACTGAAGATGGAGGTGCTTGCTCAGTCTGGCTTCCTGGTTCAATCTGATAAAAAAAATAGAAAATTAGCGGCCCGCACGCATATCAACTCATTCAATTTGCTCATAAAATAAATAATTAAAAAATCCTGAACGTAAATCCTGCAGGGATCTACTTGAACAAAGAATTACGAACTAAATTAAGGTACAAACTGGAGTATATTGTACCTGCCTTGGAGCAGGTCCAGTTGGAATGTAGACCATTTTTGAAGTCACCTCCAGAACTCCATTTTCAAGCAGCATTTTGTCTCCTGTTGATGATCCATGCTTCTCAGGCCAAAGGTGAAGCCTAACTCCAGAACATGGAGCAAGATTTGTTACAAATATGAAGTGTTCTTTGCCATTTGAGCTCTGTGAGTACACAGGTCATTAATTAGATCCTGACCACAAGTAGACAGTTTTACCATTGTACGGACAGAAATGCAGCATACAATATACAGTGCGAGCAAATATATCAAATACAATAAAGTTTGGTAGCAGTTAGGAAAAAAAATTCATCTGCAAGCCAAAGTGTGCATGCAAGACCATTCATTTGCTGGAGCAGGAGAAACCAAGGGGCCGTTTAAGATCACTTATGATTTTTGTTTTTTATTTTTATTTTTCTTTTGTTTTGTTTATATTTTTACTTAAAAAACAAATTTGGTATGTTCTAACATCTTCAGTTCTTTTTAAAAACAATCAAAACAAATTTTAGATGTTTTGATTGTTTTTAAAACAAGCTAATTTATTTTTAAAATAAAAAATAAAAACATACAAAAAATATACTAAACAAACATGTTTTTAAAACAAAAGCAAAATCAAAAACAAAAATAAAAAATGAAAGTGATCCCAAACAAGAGTGTGTGATGCCAAAGATCAAATATGGGATTAAAGTGACCAAACCTGATTTCTTATGTCCAACCACCGCCTTCTCCCATCCATGGCTAGCACGGTGACAGAAGTTGAGTGAATGTAAAGATCTTTCTCAAGTACATCACCTCTCCAGCGAAAAAATGGTGGGCAAGAAGAAAATCCATCAATTTGCAATCCTGCGAACAAGATAAATAATCAAATAAATTACAATGAAAAAAAATAATCAAAATATGGTCCCAACACATATATTAATATTATCGTTAAGTATTTGCAAGAAATAATATATACTTTCAAGTAGTAGTATCATTGTGACATAGGATGATATTGAAATCTAACGCAGGTGTAAGGCAAACCATGAAATCTACTAAAATGTAAGTACAGTACAAGAAAAAATCAAACATAAGATGATTTTTAAGGTTGCCAATATGATGCACAATATAAGTCATATAAGCATATAATTGCGGAAGTAAACTAAAAGTAAATCCAGCTATAAATCAATGTCATGAAAGAAAGCAAATTTCCACTTAAAGATAGAGAAGTTTGCATCCATAATTCATGAAAGAAAGCAAGTTTCCCGCCGACATAACTCAAGGAAGTCAGCAGCATGGCACAGAACTAGAAGGGCTCCTTTCAATAATTAATTAATTATAAGAGGGCCAAGCTTCTTTTCTTTCTTTCATAAGGTTAATGTAGTAAATAAGAGGCTCCTTTAGAAATAAGGAGAGTTTTTGACAGATTTAGTTTCAGGTTATCCTGAAAATGGGAGGAGTTCCCTATTTTAGAGTGGATTCTCCGAGTTAGGAGAGTTGAAAAGGAGAAGATAAAGTAACAGTCCAAAACTTCACCACAATCAGTTACAAAAGCATATAAATCCCTTTCCCGTGGTTATCTAAGGCATCAGGCAATGAATTCCTGTTTCTTGGGATTGTCGAAGACAGCTTCAGCCATATCTATCTTTCAGTATTCATCAAGTCAGTTCCACCTTATTGTCCTTGGAAGAACAACCCCTTCCCTCAACCCAGTAAGTTTCCTAAATCAGCTTGTTATACTGGGATAAGCCATCTGGAGATTGTTTGGTGAAAAGGTTCCTATATAAAGCTGTTAAATCCTGGACTGGTCAGCACCAGACCAATCACATGCAAAGCCAGCCACCCTCGCCTCTCCTATCACAAATCAAACCCAATTACAATCTCTTTAATTGCCTTTGGGCCATTCACTCACGTACTTCTCATGCTTGGAAACTCTTCCTTCTCGTCTCCCCTACTGATTTGAGAATGAATGAACTAGGGCAATGCAGGCCTCTCCTCCACAAGAAAATATTGCATCCGGATTACGTACCGTATGAACTCCAATAAAACAATGTCATTGGTAAAGTGGTGGGACCGGGTTTTTGCAAATTAAAAAAATATGAAAAAAAGCTATTTTTTCAAGCGACCCGGCCCGAAGACCGTCCGGTGGTATTCTGGTGCTATTATAGTGATATTCTGGTGGTATTCTGGTGCTATTATGGTGATATTATTGTGGTATTATGGTGACACTTTGATAATATTTTTGTGGTATTATTATGGCATTTTGGTGATATCATGGTAATATTCTAGTAATATTATTAAGGTATTATAGTGGTGGCCTGAAGACCGTCTGGTGGTATTCTGGTGATATTCTTGTGATATTATAGTTCTTGTGACATTTTTGTGAGATTCTGACGATAGTACAGTGGTATTATAGTAGTATTATAGTAGTATTATGGTGATATTCTAGTGATATTAGAGTAGTATTATGGTGGAATTTCAGTGGTATTATTGTAGTATTTTGGTATTATTCTTGTGGTATTATAATGGTATTTTGGTGATATACTAGTGATATTATAGTGGTATTATGGTGGCATTATTGTGGTATTTTAGTGGTATTCTTGTGGTTTTATTATGATATTTTGATATTATTCTTGTGGTATTCTTGTGATATTATGTTCGTATTCTGGTATACTAGCATAACCTTCATAATACCACTAGAATATCCCCAGAATATCACAAAAATACCACAAGAATATTACTAAAATATCACAAGAATATCACCATAATATAATAATAATACCACCAGAATATCATCAAAATACTATAATAATACCGCCATAAAATCACTAAAATTCTACCAAATTAATATAAGAATATCACTAAAATATCACAAGAATATCACCAGAATATCACAATAATACCAATAAAATACCACCAGAATATCACAATAATACCACCAAAATATCACTAGAATGTCACCGATATACCACCAGAATATTACCACAATACCACCAAAATGCCACAATAATATCACCAGAATACCACTGGGTGGTCTTCGGGCTCAGTCACATAAAAAATAGCTTTTTTCATTTTTTTTAATTAGCAAAAATCCAGTCTCACCACTTTACAAATGACACTATATTATTGAAGTCCGCACAGTATGTACTTTGAACGCAATATTTTCTCCTCCTCCATAGCCTCAAATCCTCCCAATTGAGCCTCCTTCCCTCTTTCAGAGCTCTAAGTCATCAGCCACCTTCACCCTTCTTTCTTCCCCCAAATCCCTCCAAACGGCTTCCCCTTTCAACCAGCAGCCACCACACCTTCATCACCTCCTCCTTCAATCGACGAAAGCTAGGGATCCTTCCCATCGCAGCAATAGCAACTCCTGCTTCCTCCACCTAAAATCTATAGAGAGTCGTCCTCCTCTTGTTGAGAGAAATCATAGGCAACTAAACATAAAAGCTTAACCTTCATTTCACCTCTATCTTTGAACTAGAGTTGCAGATAATCCTTTTCCTCTTCTATCTTTTTGATATCTTCATGATTTCGTCATACAGTTTTATTTAATATAATTGGTTTAATCATGATTATTTTCATCTTAACTTTGGGATAGTTGTTAGTTTAGAATGATTATAGGGTAGGTCCAATTGATTAGGTTGCACCAATTTCGATTAATAATTTATTGAAATATCTCCATCGATGTACTCATGCTTATGAGCAATTGTATTGCATAGGATCTTAGAATCGACCCGCCAAATGTTGTGGTTAAGTTCAGATAAAATTTAAATTTTGTAGCTCTCGCCTCAAGAAAAGTAACTACTATTTATTAATGGACTATAATGCAATGATACTCTTGATAAAGAAGCCATGCAATATTGGACACGCCTTGAGCACAGACACGCACCAATATGCCCCTAACAAATGTCGGAAATAGCTCTGACATGTCTGATTTATAAAAATAAAAATAATATTTAAAATTATCCCTTTTTTAAGGAATTAAAATTTAAAAAAAATTAACAATAAACATAGATAATACATATTTTGTATCTAAAAATAAAAAAATACTTATTATTTAAAAGATAGAATAGATCTATCTTGTTATCCATTAAATCAAAAGTCAATGTTAATATTATTCAATTTTTTATTTTTCTCTTAATATTATGTTTATTTAATTATATTTATAGTATCTGTATCATATATTTTAAAAAATAAAAAAAACGAGTGTTCGTGTCATACACTTCAATGTTACGACATTAACCTTATAACTGGTATACGATTCTTCATTATTTTATAGGATTGTCAGATATGCTATTAATATCCTAACTTTTTATACACAGGCTGGTAGACCTCATTTTTATGTTCAAAATGAGATAATAGATTGAATGAATAGCTTTGTCTTGATTTAACTGCACAGAATTCTATGTTCATAATTATTTAAGTTTAATTATACTTTAGGTATCCGTGCACCCAAAAAAATTTAATTAGATATAAATAATTATGGTAAAACATGGAAAGAAATCATTAGACTTAAATACAACAAAAAAATCACATATACCTGTAGCATCCTGTGCACCAACAACGGGATGGTTTTGAGAAGTTGATGATGATTGTCTTAGTTTTATCAGCCCCAAACTCTGAGGTAAACCACTTTGCAACATTCTGGTAAAAATAAGAAGCCTTTTCTCCAAATTTGTATACGGTCGTCTGTTTTCAGGATTTATCAAAGTAAGAAGTGTATGTGATATCTGTAAAATGCATCAAAATGTTTAGAGCATGAAATATGCCACTAGAAAAATAATTGGAAAAAAATACTCTTTTGCTAGAATAATTGTGTACCAAACCTGGACGACTAATTGATTGCACCAAAGAATAGTCTGGTGCTCCATTGAACGCCATACGTTCTTCATGCTAGAACTACTTATCATAAAACCATTCGTGGAAGGAACAATGCCATCTAAAGAAGCCAACTTTGACCGAACCTAAGAAAGACAAATACCATAAATTTCACATAAATTAGCTATTTTGACAGCAAAAAACAAAAAATGTATAAAGTGTTCATTGCATAAAATCAATTATTGATAACTAAATTAGAATATGCAAACACATTTATTATTAAAGTCATGAGTTATAAGCGTGTTAAATGAATGAGGACAAGCAAGATGATACAAAGCGCCATGTTGAAGAAAAAATTTTGCTAACATAATGAACATCAAGGCAAATGATGCAGTAGTATCCAACAAAGAGTATAGCAAAGAAATTAGAGAAATTTTACCAGGCAATAGAAAACTAAATACTCCTAAAAAAACATAAAAGTAAGACAAGAAAGGTTAAAAAATGAAGCATGTGAAAACAGCACAATGTAATACTGTAAAACAACATACACATTGAAGAAAAGAGTTCAAGATGAAAGGTCAAACCTGGTAATCATAAATTCCACCAGAAACAGATATAACAAGAACATGGGAGAGTTTGGAGCCATGAAAAGCATGACCGGCCATGAACCTCATTTTCCATTCGCGATTAACTTGCGAAAAATAATGACCCAAAGATGGCTGCAATGCAATAGGAGGTGCCCTGCAAAAAGACCATAAATTATTTATAACCCAAATGTATTTACAGAATAAACGAAATCATATTTACATGGTAATTGAAGCAAAACATACTGATGAGGGCTAGCGAGGGTTAAGATAGTCTCAACTGCTGACTTTCGCAAGTGTGGGTGAATTACTGCAGCTCTAGCTACGAATCCGCCCATAGAATGGCCCACCAATATTACACTATTGGGCGAGCCTCCAGAGGCATCAGCTCCTTTCAATCTTGCTTCATGAGAATCTTTATACAAATCCAATATCTATAAATTACATAATACTTACAAATGATCAAAATAAGTATAGAATATCAACATTATCTGGGTGTTTAAAATCTACAAGCGAAAAGTTATTTCCTTTACATGAATAGTATTAGGAAGATTTACATACAAGCCACTCAATTCTTATGTATTTACAGATCTAACACCAAAACTTTAATTTTTATGTACATACCACCTTGCCTGTGCATGAAAAGGTGTATTTCAGTTTCTACAAGTTAAATGGATGGTGTTTTGATATGATATAAAAGATGGTGATATAACTTTAAATAACAATGTTAAACAAATCTCATAAGTTGTATAAATCATGGCATTTCTAAAATAAACAAAATTAAAGTAGTTACCCTATGAATAGAATATACAACATATTCAGTATGCTCTTGGAGTATTTGTCCATCCATCGCGGAATGCTCCCCCTCAAGATTCACGGCGAACCAGTTCAACATTTGTTCATATTTCGTAGGGTACTTGAAAGAATTTGAGAGTTCAACATTTACAAAGGGTGCTTCTCGATAAAAAGTTGCCTCGAGTGGTCCACCTTGATACGCCCTAGAAGATTCCGCAGCCAAGGAACGAACCTGGAAGAAAATGAATATGGAATAAAGATTCAGAACAGTCGTATATAAAAAATTTTTTGGCCAAGAAACAATGGCAACAATGTATCAATATTGTTAAGTTTGAATTAGAATAAATCATATTATTCATATTTATAATCCAAAAAACCAATTCTCAAGGCTGGCAGAAGCACCAGAGGAGATATATGTCAAGGAGAGGCAAAAAGATTTGAATATCAGTTCAGTTACACTGGCGTGATCTCCAACACATACACTTTTTATAATAAAGTAGAACTGAGCAAAATAATACATTAAATCCATTCAAGCAAAAAGCTGAAATCAAATTTGCTATTGACAGTGATATAATAATCTGCAAGGTGCGGGACGCTGATGCAGAATGTAGGATGTGGGTTCAGAAAAGTGAAACTGCATTAGGTGCGAATGAAGGAGCGGGATCCCCCAATCACAGGATCAAACGGGCAGGATTCCATCTTGTGGAACCTCTATAGCAGGATTTTCCTGCTGCTTTGCTGCGGCAGCCCTTGTGAGCCCCTTTTTTAATAGTATTTTAAGTAAAATTAAAGTTAATTTGAGTAGAAATATTTATATGTTGTTATTTTCAGGTTTTGGGATTTTTGTTTTGATTTATGCTATATTGGGACTATTGTTCTCTGTTTTTTGCTATTTGGAGTGGTGTATCCTTAGCCGGATTAGATTGAAGGGGTAATCTCTGTCAAACATCCAACAACCTCCTACTCCGACGGTTCTAAAACCTATCGGCAGTTTTCCGGCTACCAAGCTGCTATCAACCCACTGATTGTGCCAGATTTCTGTCGCCGTCCCTCCTCCCTCCTCCCTCCTCTGTTGCCTATCCAATTAATATCCTAACACCTCCCTTGATTTTTTTCACCCCTTCTAGGAACCCCAGATTGGTGTCGCTACATTAATATAACTGTGAGAATGGATCACGTAGAAAGGCTAATTGGAGCCTCTACGAATATTAAAATGTATTGAATTGACCAAGATTTGCACAGTGCTGGCCTTCAAAGACAAGGCCCCAAGAAGAATCCTCAAAAACGTCACCCCGCCCACAATTTTTGCATGCCCCAACCCCCAAGCACCAGAGCTCTGGCTTTCTATTGGCAACTAGAAAACAATCTACAATCATCAACTTCCTCAAAGAACTTGAAGGGTACTAACACCAGATTCTTCAATGAGAGCAATTGCACACCAATGGCCTCCATCATTTTATCATGTGCCCAATGCTAGTCTGTTAACTCACTTCCTATACTTCTCTGCCAACATAGTTTTATAATTTCTCATTTAGTAAGGGAATGCTAAGCCCCTCAAAATCTTACAGTAACATCTATGCATCTTGTGTCAACTGAATTCCAGAAGCCCGAGAAGACCCGAGTCATCCTGAAAGAATGCTCAAGCTGAATTGGACCACATGAGATCAAGCAACGCTAGGGTCTTTTGCTCCGACATTCTTAGAAGCGTACACAATGTAGAGGTGAGGAGAATGTTAATGACATTGAAGATGAATATATAAGTAGTTCAAAAACCTAGACAAGCAAGCAATTTTTATTGTTTTTTTCTTTTCTAATAAAATATTTATGTTACGACTACATCTTAAAAGTAAAAAAATTGTCCCACCACAATTCCTCATCCGATCCCAAAAATTCCATGTCATTTTCTTGCCTCAGATCAATAAACAGTTCAACATACCAATTCAGCAGATAGAAGCAGTATAAGTATAAATATACAGATTTGGAATGAGATTAAATTTAACCTAGTGTTTTAGAGTTTTGAATAATTCACAATAATAAGTTTGGTAGAGATGATTGGAGATTGAGCTATAGGAAGTTGTAACAACGAATTGTGCAAAGAAAAAAACCTACTCTGAGGTATGCAATTAATTAGAAACGCTACAATTTGCTTTAAATTTTAAGAAATTTAATTAAAGAGTATGCTGTCTACGTTATCAAATTATTTTATAAATATTCAGTAAATTAGCATGCTTAAAGAAATTAGAATTTAGCAAACTGAATATAGTTAATTATCTAGAAATGTAGTATGATATTAAGTTATAAACATTAAAATTTAACAAATAATTTATGTAAACATGTCTTACGCTAAAGAAAGTGAAGACTAAAAATGAAGCGACAAATAAATTGTTCAAACATTAAGGTGAGCACTTACCTTTCCACTTGTACTAATTTTAGTTATTTTAAATTTAAATGCATCCATGGTTAAAATGCTTGGTTCAAGATTGTTATTAATAAAAATTAATCAACCGTTTAAATTAAAAAAGTCACAAAGTGTTAAAATATATTTTAAAAAGATTTCATATATTGTGTTCACAATGAAAAGTTAACATATATTTCAAATGCTTGAAAGAAATTTAATGAAATAAATGCATCAATCAATCCAAGGAATAATCCCAAAGGGTACTAGCATGGAAGATTATCGTACCCGAGCATGTAGAAATGAAATAGATTTGGAAAAGGAAATGAAAGTGAACGTACTTTATTGGTACAAAATTTTAGACGATACTCGTAAGATGATTTTTTAAAATGAAATGCAAAAGCTTAAAATGTTTAATAAATTAAAATGTTAAATTAATTTTTAAGGGGCAATTCCATACACATACTGTTGTCAAAATAGCTCATTGTTCGTGAATAGCTCGTGTTCGGCTCCTTCGTTAAGTAAACAATTCGAACATGAACAAATTTTTAAGCTCAAATTGTAAACAAGCCGAACATGAATGAATTAAATAATTATATATATATATATATATAATAAATGAGAAATGTTATTTTAATATATTTTTAACCAGTTACAATCTAGCAAATATTAAATTTGAAATAAATCAAATTAAAAAATATAATAAATCCTCTTTTAATCTCAAAGATAAGATCCATCATCCATTCATCCTAAATTATAATATCTAAAAAAATAAATTAAAAGAAAAACCCTAACAAGCTGACACTTTACACCGCTGCCTCATTCCTCCTCATTCATTACACTTTACTTGGTTTCTTTCGGTCCTAAGAGTGAAACGTGAAAAAAGCTGGCCAAAGAGTTTTGTTTGCTCACATTTTGTCATTGCCGCCTCATCACCACTCAACAGTCAGGCAGTAAGAGTATTTGTTTAATTGTATGAATTCATTGCAGCAGTAAGCTTTTTACAGGATTTGTTGAGAATTGTGTTAGGTTTTGTCTTCTCTTATATTGCTTCATAATATTTGAATTTTTCTAAGGGGAGTTATTGATAATGGAGTTAACCCAAATCACAATAGAGAAAAAAATAAATAGTATTACATAAGCAAATAGACGTTACAACCAACACACTTTAAAGAGAAAATACAACAAACAGACGCGACGCAAAAACTCTATAACTAAGAGAGGCGGAGAGGTGGATGAGACGGTTGGCAAGCAGACAACTGCACGACAACGATTAACAATGGTCCAGGCTGCAAGCAAGCAACAGGGATTGATGCAGAAGGGCTATCTAGCACGTTGGCAGCAAAAATGTGGTCGGTCTCGAGCGGAGTGTGGCCGGCTTTGGGTGCAAGCAGCAAGGTAGAATGAGAGAAGCGAGAGTACTGGATGGCGGCAACAAGTTGGAAGGAGGACGTTGTTTCTGGAGGTGGAAATAAGGTTTGAGGAAGGATGGTTGTTGGGAGGTGGAGAACTGCATGGAAGATAGTTGAAGTTGTCCGAGCAGCTGCAGCCGAGAAAGATGACAGTGGCAGTGAAGGTAGGGGTGTGAAGAAGTTGGAAAGGAATAACCACCACTTGGAGGCTACGATGCACACGAAGCACCACCTAAAATCCTATGATACATGTTTTGAAAGAAAGAAGAGATGTTGGCGACTATCCCGATACAAAACACACAGTAAACTAACCCTAGAACATTAAAAAAATGAATATATACTAGCACGATTGATAGGAGTTAACATAAGAAACCGGCTAACTCCACATACATGAGAAGACCTAAACTAATTTGGTCCATGCGTGAGAAGGCTCCCGCTTCTATCAAGAAAACCCCAGCACGGGAGTCGTCCCGTGTCAGTCGCAAACAGGTGTTGTCCTTCTTCTCTCTTCTTCAATCTATTCTTATTATGATTTTGTATTTAGGTGGTAGATTGGTACTATTTTAGTTAAACTTCTCTCCCATGCTGCAATTTTTTATTTTCTGTTGAAATAGAAAAGCCGAGAAAAAATTTTGAAGGGTTTAGTTTTATATTTAGGGTTTTTTAAGTTTTTTGGTGGAACTATGGAAGGAGAGCTGGATTCATTTCTTTCTGTTCTTCAAAATGTAACAGAAGTTGGAGTGCTTTCATTTCAGTTAGAAATTAGAATAAATCGGAAATGTAATATTAGGTTGCAAATGATTTTATTTACAGCAAATCAGCAATCTTGTTTCTTGCAGTTAATTAGCGTTTCAATTAATGATTTTCATTTTAAGTTTAATCTTTTTTTTATTCATCAAAGAAGTTTTAAAAAATAATGACGTAAGGAAATTTTTTTGGAATATTTTTGTTTTAATTCAGAGAATGCTTTTGTGGTTTAGCTATTGAATTATAATATCAAGTTTAAATTTAAGTCCTTCAAGACATTTGTTCGGTAGTTTTAATATATAAGCGTAGTATAATTGTGCTTTGGGATACAGAAGTTCTTTTAGATTCTATGAGGATACTATTCAAGTTTATATGTGCATATCATTTATTCAGTTGCATTCATTTACAAACATATTGCCATGCTTGCTTTACGAATTTAACTTATGAAGAAGTAAGTTTTTTCCATGTTTAAGCAATTGTCATCTTGCATTTTGTTGGTATACAAGGTAGATTCCTTATTGGAGTCTGGAATACTACTGTATTATGGAGATATGATGAGATATTATAATAATTTGGAAAACTCTCAGTTGAGATATGGATTGTGGCCATTGTGGGTCTTTTGATTGCTTTATATATTAGATTTCAATTGTTGACTGGTATTGATAGCTGATATATACG